TATAATTATATATATATAGATTATGGATCATCCCGTCATCCGATGTACCCCGCCCATTCAGTGTTGTGTAAAATACCAGACTACCAGTGCTCCCCAAAATCTACAAAAAAAAATTACCAAAATATACTTTTATACTCTAAAAATTACCAGGCAGTCTTCAGGGGGTTTATAGAATTAATTTGAACATTGAGAGAGTCTTCTTTTTTTTTAAACAAAACAAAACAATATTTATAGTCCGTCTAAATATTTACATGGTAAATAAAATATAAATAGACTCTCTCATACATCGTGTAAATAGACACTAGTAGAGACTGTAGACTGTAGAGTGTAGAGTGTAGACAGTAGAGTGTAAATAGTGTATTTAGACTGTAAATAGAGAGCTAATTCTGTATGACTGGCAGCAACGAATTAACGACTCTCTCTCTTCTCCGAGGAAAAGATATACAAGCTAAGCTGGTCTGAAATTCGAAAACAGACCCCAGTGGGCCCAGTCACAGTGATCAGTCACAGGGATCACACGACAGCTATGTGTGTGAATGCGATACTTCCAGTAGCTTTGACGACACTCTGTCACACAGTCATAGTGCTTTTTCTGCTTATACTTTATTTTTATTTTTATAAAAATATTTGTTTGAGGAATGAATAATATCGATCTTATTATTTGCTCACAGCTCAGTGCTCAATAATCAGTGCTCACTGTTGTGGAAAAATTAAAAATCGAAACTACGGGCAACTTACGATGTTGAATACTACTATTTATGGGCTAATAACTTTATAAGGCGCCAAGTCGCCAACCAGTTTTGTTTAAGAAACAATATAAAAATAATGTTAAACTATGGGCCTGACGCCAACCCAATGGGCAATGAGGCCATCCTTTTTACTTAATTACTCCAAGTGACTCCACTGACTGTATTCTAAATTTTCGGGCCCCTACAATAGTACAATCCCTACATATGTACTATTTATATAAAACTATTTATGTACATTTGTCTCAGTTGAGTCAGTTCTCGTGACGTCGGTCATCGTGCCAGTTGACAACTTGCCACTTTTGACCCACACTTCCAGCCTAAAGGCCCAAGGTCCCAAGGCCCAAGCTCAAACGCCCAGACCCAGAGTCCCAGACTCCGGGCCCAGAGGCCTAGTGACGCAGTCTAACCAGACCCCAGAGACACTCCGCAATAAAAACCACTACCCAGTCCCCAATACCCAACAGCGAGAGAGAGTCAGAAAAGAGGCCGCAGGTGCACCGGTGGGCAATTGGACACCCCAATCCTAATGACCCCAACAAGCCAAGCATGGGCCCAGCTGGCCAACTCCCAACTCCCACTCCCAACTGCCAACTCCCAACTCCCAACTCCCAACTCCCAACTGACAACTCCCAACTCCCAACTCCTAACTCCCAGCTCTCAGCTCCCAACTCCCAAGCTAAGTCCCAGAAACTGAGAAACAGTGACACACAAACAGAGAGTATGTAGTTATTGTAGTATGTAAATAGGAGACGAGAGAAAAGCTAAAACAAAATAAAGAGTATTTAAACACTGTAGATTGAACTGCTTTATTGTCTTTCGAAAACAAAAACGAAACAAACTCTCCTATGTATTTATTTTCATTCCACCTATAATTTTTGGCCGCTGGCTACTGAGGCCAGACATAGAATTAAGTGAGAGCATTGATCGTATGTTTTTATTAAAAAAAGGAATGTTGACTTTAGGATTTATATATTTATGTAGTCCTGTGCGGGCTGTGCAATTGCCAATTCACATAGCGCATAACATTTTTATATAAAAGAGCATACAATACATACGTATGTAGGACAACAACTCTTATTTAGCGCACACACATCAAGACAACGACTGCATCTGCAAGCCTGCAACACAACACTTTTTATTTAACAAAATATTATAAAACAACAAGAGAGGAGAGGGAGAGAATGAGTGCGTACTGAGACCTGCATATTGCGGTACTACGTATTTAGTTGCGTGCTACTTAGAAAGCGTATTCGACCACTTACACACACATCAACTCACAACTGACAAGAGAGAGAAAAGAGAGAGAGACGAGAGAGCGAGAAATATGGTGACAACTTGAACTGACAATAGACAATGGTCAGTCACTGATGAGTGGTAAACTGGTCAGTTTGTGAGTTTGTGCCTAAGGTGACTAGTGAAGTGGTGACTGGTGACTGGTGACTGGTGAAGTGGTGACTGGTGACTGGTGAAGTTGTGACTGGTGCTTGGGGACTGGGGACTGGTGAGAGGTGTCACGAGTGTTTTAATGATGTTTTTCTATAACAAAAGATTGAAGTCTTAATATAGTGAGTCCTAAACCACTCGCTACAAAAATACAAATACTCTTGTAGCGAGTGGTTTACTGTTTTTAATAGTGGTTTACTCTAATCACTCGTCACTCGTCGCAGACTCGCAGTCGACACTACTAGACCTGACCGAGGAGCACATATTTTTCGATAATAAATATGGCGAAAAATTGGCATACTATTATTTAAAATAAATAAATATGCAATGAAAACGTTAAATACAACATGTGAAATATGATATGAAATTTGGAAGGAAAAAAATACATAATACGCGTGTTGATTTCAGAAATATGGCAAAAATAATAATATTTGGTATTTAAAAATTGAAATATGCCATAAATATGCATATTTCTAAAATAGGCCATACTTTTTTTATAAATATGCCATATTCCTAAAATATGACATTTCTGAACTATGCCATACTTATGAAATATGCCATATTCATGAAATATGCCATATAAAGTACAATAATATATATATATATATACGAAATATAATATGCAGTATTTCACGGCTGTATTATAGGGATAATATTATTTATTTCAAAAATGGCAAATATGTATGATACAATGTATGAACATATGGAATGGCACTCATAGTCGTTGTAGTGGTTCAGGAAGGATTGATGGGAAGAAGTGGTCAGTAAATTCCCGTTTGAAGCTTGGGCCAAGTGAGTCGACAATGGAAGATATGTGCTGAGTCAATTCGGGCCGGTGTTGACAAAATACTGTTACTATCGAATGTTCCATATATTCGCTTGCTGACATACTAAGTAGAGTACCCACCTTTATGGTACGGATCGGGTCTGTGCCGTGTAGTGCCGCGGAATGGGTTAGTGCAGAGTACGAAATACCGAGAAGGACCAGGTTATCCGTTGTTGGCTGGCCTGGATTGGAAGTATCATAGTCGGAACCAACAAGCGCGATGATTTGGTTTGAACCGATATTTCAAGGTGTTCGTGGAGGGTCCAGATACCGTGGAAGTCGTGGCACTCCTGTAATTGCTGAAGGAGGTCAGGGCCAATGGGCGGCAGTTTCGGGCCTACCAGGATGCGTCGAATCTGTTGTTGGATGCAGGTAAAGTGGCTGGTAGTGAACTTGTGGCTACCGTGGTAGACAGGGCAGAAACAGCCGTCGGTGCGGTAGTCGAGCAATGTGAACATGTACGTAATCGTTACAATCATAGCACAGAGCCGGATTGGTGTACACTCGTAGCAGCGATTGAAGCTGTCATGTCTGGCGGTGTCTCGGTTTGAGGTTGGCGGTTTACCCATAACCAGTTGGTAGTAGTATTGACGCCGGGCCATTGCCGCGATCTCTTTGTTGGACCAACGTTTTGTTGAGTTCTTCCTGATGTCGTCACACCGTTAGCGGAGGGCTACATGGTCGGGTGTACGCCCGCCCGTGGTTTTGTGTACAGTTTCTAGGTGAGCATAGATACTGTACGGGAAGCGCAGTGATAGTCTATCGTGGGCCCAGGCGGTATAGCCATATAGCCTGTATTATGCAGTTCTATCAATGATTTATATAGGCATATTGGCTGTGCTTTGTAGTTAGTGGCTGTTGTTTGTAGTTATATTAAAGGAATTGTACAGGTGTATAGGGAAAATATTATTTATTTCAAAAATGACAAGTATGTGTGTTAAAATGTATGAACATATGGTATGGCTCTCATAGTCGCTGTTGTGGTTCAGTAAAGATTGATGAGAAGAAGTGGTCAGTAAATTTCCGTTTGAAGCTTGGGCCAAGTGAGTCGACAATGGAAGATATGCATTTATACCTGATGTAATAAAATATCGTATATACGTTTTATTTCATATACTACATTATATAATATATTTCGTGAATATGTGTACATATGTATATGGTACATATGGCATATTTCTAAGAAATACCATATTTCATGTATATACATATATACATAT